GTCGCTAAAATCAACAACCATTATATGGGGACTGAATGAAAACGTGGACCTACATGGGCCATTTACGAACTTAACCTGCCTACTGGCAAAATAAACATGCATGCAACATTTTAGCCTTCTATCTCAATTCGTTCGAAAGATAGCGTGATTACAATAGACAGACAGGCGGATATCGCTAAATCGACTTAGAATTTTACGCTGATCAAGAATATATATACTTTGTTGGGTCTGACATGAGTATTTCGAGGAGTTGCAAACGAAATGACAAAGTTAATATACCCCCCATAGTATGGTGGAGAGTATAAAAAATATTCATTCCAAGACTTTTATAGTTTGGAAAATTCCTTGAATTATCTTTTTGAAACGATCCTATTTCCAAATATTTTAGAATGAATTACAATGAAATCCTGAAATATATATGAAAAAATTAACAAATTACAAAATATTTCAAAACTTTATCCCTTTCCCATGACGATCAACCTCGAAACACTTTCCATTATCTCTTAATACTAAACATTTTTTGCTTTGCTAAACTTCTTAGCCCACTATCACCATGTCAACCTCCTACTCCCTCCCCCTCTCGAATGATGATAATAATGTTGATATTTTTTATATCATTATTTACATTTGAGTCATAATGAATTCCACAAAAAAATCCATGTTATCTCCAACGGAGGCATGTATGTACGAAGTATGTGAAGTAATGAAAGTATACCTTGCTCTTCACTACTTGCAAACACCCCAACCACCTTTCGCCTTGTAACTATATCACATGAATAACAACATAGATGGGAGGATTGGCAAACAATCAGAAAGGGGTAGAGGGAGGAGTTAGTAAAGCAAGAGATGATCACATAGTACAGTTATTTTCAGAGGGGTTATGTTTGCAAAATCAATAGTTATTGTTTAATACAAGCGGAGTGATGTTATAACGTTATATGATCGTCTAGAGGGGGAAAGAATTGATACGGAATAAAGTAGATAGGTTGTGGAGGTTAAGAGGAAGCAACAATATATGTATTGAAATAATATTGATGCTTTTTGTAAAATGACTAATATTGTACAAACCAATAGGTGCGCAGCATTAATGGGTTTTAATTAGAGATGTATTTGTGGCCTATTAATCAAATTGGGTTTTTCCAATACATGTTATTTTAGTCCATTCAGAATTTCAATAATTTCGATGTATACGGGATTTTTTTCACGGAAATTTATTACCTGCACAGGAAGAGTACTCAACTGCACTCTTAAAGTCCACAGTGTGTTAGGGTACTTGCTGTCTTAGTCATAACATTTTATTCGGTATAAAATCGCTGCTAATCGTTTCAATTGAATAGCGATAAATAAATAAATAGAATTATACAGAAATGGATGTATCATGTTTGTATTCTGAGAGATAACAAAATGGGAAGAAATCATTTTCCTTCCAAATTTTCTTGGAACAAGATTTCAGCCCCTAGGTGTTGTAAAATTGTCCTTCATTCATTTAATGATTGGGGTGTGGAAATTTACTTTTTTTCGTCGTTTTCAACAATAGGACTAAGATATCTTTCTCTAATACAAAATGATGGGTAGTAACATGGACAAATTAAAATATAGACAACGAAATGCTCTCACCGTTTATCTTCCAAAAAATGGGATCAGCAGATGTCGTTTATATCATTTCAGGGATTTGAGTGGGAATATTGAAGTCACTCAATTCTTATATGTTAAAAAATAACAAAAGCTGTAGGATATTTATCATTTGAAAATTGTTTCTTAATAAAATAAATGTGAAAAGTACGTGATGACCTCGAAAAATTCCGGAATAATCAAGTGAAATTGACTATGCAAAACATGATGAGAGTCACCAGGATAAAAAAGACAAAACTAACTTTTCGTTGTCTATATCTTCATTTGGCTATGGTATAATGCAATATATGAGGGAAGTGTTGAAAAGTCCCTCATGTGAGGATTATTGTTCTAAGATTGTTAGACCTTAAATAAAACTATAGACAAATTTCTTTAGTAAATCTTGGGCGTAATAGTTTTTGTCTATAGTTTTATTTTTAATATATTGCATCTAGTCATTTATTGCCGCATTTTACATCCCCAAAACACCTCATCTTTATAAACCACAGGAATGTTAAATGTCCTGCAATTCAGAGAGTTCCTGTCCACCACTACAGATATTGGTGGGGTAGAATCATCCGAAGTCAGGGTCACATGCAGAGACCCTTCCTTTCCTTCGAAATTAGGTATTTTCTGTTAATTTGTTTTTTTTTTTTTTTTTTGTAAATTTGAAATATTCAGCACACCTGAAATAATGTGGGAAACGATAAATTGTAAGCTGCGCCTAAATTGCCCTCGAACATCTCGAGAAAAGGATGAAACAAACTCTATCACTCTTAACCTCATTACTGGGACTGATAGAAGAATCGCGCCAGTGATTTTTGCAGTTATGCCACTGAGCGCACCAAAAGTGACAGGGCGAAGCGAAGACATCGAAAAGGTCGATATATCCACAACTCTTAAGATCTCTGTGGTATCCACACACTCTATGTATGGAGAACATATGTATATGGTTTGACTTGTATCCGATTTGATCCAAACTACGTACATCGTAATATCGTCATCAAACTTAGATCGAGTTCGGAGATGGGCAATTTCGGTTCACTCCTTCTGGTTCATCCCCCACAACATTTTCGATCGAAATTTGGCCGCAGACCTTGAACATTCATTCCAATAGGACCTAGCACCACCCCACTCGTCACACGCCGCCAAGAATGGTTACAAAATGAGGTTCCTGGCTTCATATTCAGCTCACAATGGCCACCAAAATCTCCGGATAACAATCCGTTGGACTATTGTGTGTGGAGTATTTTGGAAAGCAAGGTTGGCACTAAAAAAACCCAAGGTGTCGATCACCTCAAGCAAGCGTTTCGCCGGGAATTGGCCAAAATATCGCAGAGCAAAATTCGTACAGCGTGTGACGGTTCCGTTGGCTGTTTGAAGGTAACCAAAGGTAACCAATTCGAACAAATCCAAAGTTATTCTACAATTTGATGCTATTTCCGACATTTTTTACTTTCATTCAATAAAATTTAAAAAAATGTATATATATAATCAAAAAGTGGCTGAGGGTAAAATACTTTTGGCAAAATCGACTGATTTGCCGAGCACGAACAAGGGTTAAAAAATATACATATTTTGCCCCATCTGAGCCTTTATTGTATCTAATCAGTTTAGAAAAAAGCTAAATTCGATTTAATTAGACACTTTGTTGAAGTACTCTATCACCCCCGCGCCTCCCCCGTGGCGATAAATATTACTCTACACTACTAGATAGGAACAGTTCATATGTTTGCCTTATCACTGAGTTTTGTTGTTTTCGCAAACATTTCCTATGGCAACATTTATGACGACATTCGTCTCGTGGATGGATATGGTCTAGAAGTGGCGTGTTTTAAAATACTGAATATAATACTGAAATATTGCATGAAATCAGCAAAGTTATTAATTTGTCATTTGTCTCACTTCAACAACTACCAATTGGCTGCTTAAGTCCGTCAAAGGCAAAGGTTTTTTGTTGGTTCCTCATGGCTATTTTTAGAATTACAAGTAAGAAATGATTTCGAAGTTTTCTGGCGTTGTTGTTGGTGTTGCTGTTGCTGTTTTATCGCTTCCTCACCTCTTTTTGTGTGTGTGGATAGATGAAATTAAAAAATTCCCCCTAAATGAAATTATGTTTTTTTGCATTTTATTCTTTTTCATATTTTTATTTTGATAAGATTGTAATTAGGTATATTTTTTTCCACAATTGGAGTAGGTCTTGTGATAAGAAGTAAAGAAAGTGGGGACATAGTCTTATTTTGCTTCCAGTTCAGTTGCCTTTTTAAGAAACTGTTAAAATTATTTAAAAAAGTGGGCTACAATATTTTGCTCCCATCGCCGCTCCCCCTTGCTGCCATTTTCGTTGGGTTTCTGAGTTGCTGTTTTTATTTTCATTTTTGTTTTGGCAAAAATATTCCCCTAATCCCTCTCCCTCGTAGCCCAATGGAATTCTATTCTCTATCTTCTTGTTTTTGCTGTTGCTGTTGTTCGCCGTCATTGTTTGCTATTAGCAGACAGCACAACGTCGGAACAGACACACACACGCCAAGAATAAAACCAGCATTAACAGTCGCTGCTGCTTATTGTTGGGTGCTGCTGCCACTGCTGGCTGACGTTATTGTCGACAACAACAGTGACGATGATTAATAATTATGGTATTTCCTCTTTTAATTGGCCATTATTCCAGAAATATACCATAGACATGGTGGAAAAGAAATTGGCGGTGGGGTGGTGGAGGTCGCTCGGAGGGGAAAATATTATTGAAGCTTAACCGCCCTACAAATTGCTCTAGTAGATCTGTTTTACTTTTTTTTTAATTATTTCCATATATTGTTTATTTTTTTGTTTTGTTTATTGTTTACACGTCACATACAGTAATACCAAGTAACAATTTGTTTTTGTTCGCTCTCTCTCTCTCTCTCGGTGTGTGTCTGTCTTTCTTGCCTTATCTCCGTTTAGTGGTCTGCTGGTTCATTGGTTTTCATTATCAAACAAAATAAATAGGTATATGAAGAAATCAATTAATAAAACAAAAGCCTTTATTCCTAGCCCTAGATTGATATCAATATCCAAGCTAAATGTGTCCATGGCATGAGATTTACAAGTTTGACCCACACACACACGCACACACAAGGCAATTTGAGTCAATTAAATTTGCTGGAAAATATACTTTTTGATAACTTTTTTGTGGTGTATTTGACTAGACTTTGGGTCTGTTTCTCTAGGACGATACGAAAATGAATTCAAAAGAAAAAAAAAAAAAAAAAAAACAAATTCCAGCCAAAAGTTATTTTTTAAAATAAATAAAAATCTAACATTTGTTTTACTTTCGAGTTCACTTTTGAATCGCCTTTAATTTCGATTTGTTATAAATATTATTAACTTATATATTTTTCTATAAATTTCAGGTTGAATTGGCCTTATGGGATACAGCTGGTCAAGAAGATTATGACAGACTTCGTCCACTCAGTTATCCCGACACAGATGTTATATTAATGTGTTTCTCAGTGGATTCACCCGATTCGCTAGAGAATATTCCTGAAAAATGGACCCCAGAGGTAAGAATTGCCAAACATGAACTAGGCATTGGAAGACCCTTTGAAAATATGCATGAAAATATCCACAGTAGACAGAGCCTCTAAGTCCGTCTACTCTACAATATACAGCCTATACAGTAGGCGTCCTCAGTACCTACAATACCTTTAAAGGTTGTGGAAACCTTTTTTTGTAGAACACCTATGTTAGAGAAGACTTTGGGAAAGTTTTTGTTCTATAGAAGACCTTAAGAAGATTATCCATCTTGCAGGAGACCTGTTCTAAAAAGAAATTTTATTCTATAGAGCACCTTTAAAAGTATTTCCATCCTATAGTACACTATAAGGTGTTGAAACTTATAGACCTTAAGAAGGGCTTTGTGTTCTTTTGAAGAATCCATCCTAGAATGGACCTTTAAAAGGTTTCTTTATACAAAACATTTAGAAGATGAGAACTCTAACTTACAGAAAAGCATTTTATTAAAAACCTTTTTTTATAGAACACCTATGTGAGAGAAGACTTTGGGAAGGTTTTTGTTCTAAAAGAAGATTCTCCATTTTGCAGGTGACCTGATCTGAAAAGAACTTTTATTGTATAGAGCACCTTTAGAAGCCCCATCATCCTATAGTACACTATAAGAAATTTCTCAAACATAGCCCTTTTTCTTGGTTTAGAAAAAGGCATCGTAGAATTGACCTTTAAGAGGTTTCTTTATATAGAAGACCTTTAGAAGATAGGAAATCTAACATACTGGAAACCATTCTATAGAAAAACTATCTTACAGAAACCCTATCATACAGAAGGTTTCTGTTCTCTAGAAGGCATTAAGAAATTTCTCTATATTGCTGGAGACCTAGAAGGTCTTTTGATCTGTAAATAAATTTTAAAGTGCCTTCAAATTATAGTCCTAGATTGCCTCAAGGCCTCTATTCTATAGAATTAATTTAAAGGCTAATCTGCCTTATAGAAGGCCTTTGGGAAACCTTCTTTCCTATGAAAGACCTGTCCAACGCCTTTTAGAAAACCAATTTCTACCGAAAGTCTTTAAAAGAACTTGTACTAGAAAAGGTCTAATGAAGACCCCTTTGTCCATAGAAGACGTTTAGAAGGACTTTTCAGAATATAAGACATTAAGAATGCTTTCTAGCTATAGATGAACCCAAGAAGAATTTCAGAAGGCTTCAGAAAACCTTTCCATCGGAAGACATTTAGAAGAACTTTTGTCCCATTAAAATTCCTAAGAAGACCTTTTATTTTATGGAAGGCATAAGATGCAAGACCTTCTGAAGGCTCTTTTTGAGTATAAGACTTCAAGAGAATCTTCTAGCTATAGGTAAACTAAAGAAGGCCTTCAGAAGGTTTTCTATTCAAACAAGACCTTTGCAAGATCTTTCATATATAGAAGACTCTGAGAAGTTCTATCTATAGAAAATTTAAAGAAGCCATTCCAAACATGACATTCAGTTCTATGAAATATCAAAGGGATCTCCCAGTTACAGAATACAATTAAAAAATTGTCTATCTCACAGAGGGCATTTTTAAGATTTTCCATCCCTAGAAGAAAATTTTTAGGCCTTCCATCTCCGGAAGACCTTTGAAATATCATATATCTTAAAGCCCCTCTTCTTTAAGTTTCCTCATTAAACCCTTTAATTTTTTATTACAGGTCAAGCATTTTTGTCCAAATGTTCCCATTATTTTGGTGGGTAACAAAAAAGATTTGAGAAACGATCCCAATACAATTCGGGTAAGTACTTTGGAAATTCAATTCCTTTTTAATTTTCTTAAAATAATTTTTCATTTGTTTCTTTCTAAAATAGGATCTTGCAAAAATGAAGCAGGAACCTGTTAAGCCACAAGAAGGTCGTGCTATGGCTGAAAAAATTAATGCCTTTGCTTATTTAGAATGTTCGGCCAAGTCCAAGGAGGGTGTTAGAGAAGTGTTTGAAACCGCCACTAAAGCTGCATTGCAAGTCAAAAAGAGGAAGAGGACCAAATGTAATTTGCTCTAAAAGAGTTCTACTTCATTTAAAACAACAACAACTACAGCAACAACAACAACCATACTTTTTTAATAAAAACAAAATCAACAACAAACAAGAACATACAATTTTACTTCTACAACAACAACAAACAATAAAAATACACACAAACACCTACAAGAAAAGAAACAAAAACAGCACATTTTTACTTCAAAAACAAAAAAGAGACAAAAAAACATCCTCCTGGAATGGAAATTATTGAAGAAAAAAGTAAACTTGATTGAATGCAAAACAAAAAACACAAAAATCACAAGGTTTTTATACGTTCCACCTCCACTCCTCCTCCTCCAACAAAAACACAATCTCACTCACAGCAGCAAGAAGAAGAAAAATCGCAATTCGCTAAAAAGGAGAAGTAAAACAAAACTTTTTTCAGTCAAAAAAGAAATGGAAATCACACTCACACCCGATTTAACACAGCAAGAACAACAACTATTAAAGAAAAGAGGAAGAAGAAGAAACAAAAAAGTGTTAATTTTTTTGTTTTTCTTTTTTTTTACGTTAATGTTTTCGTAAATAATTTATATATATAATTTTTTGAAATTTACATTTTATATATATACATAATAATATCTAGTTTATGTGGTTTATTAATAATTTTTTTGCTTTTATTTAAAAAAACACACACACACAAACAAAACATAAATTAAATATTTTAAAGATTTTTTTTAAATTATATTTAAGTTGATAAAGAAAGAAAGATAAATTAATTAATATTGGGGGTTCTTGTTTAATCGAAAAAGCATGATCATATTTTTTACAATAACAATTAGAATACAGTTTTTTTTTAATTACAAAATGAAACAGAACAAAAAAGAATTAAGTTTTGAAGCCAGCAAACAATATGAAGTGAGAGAAAATGAATATGAAGCAGCCTTATCTGTTCCCAGACCTCAAATCAATGGGGAGAATTTTCGATCTCTTTCCTTGTCGTACTACTGTTTTCCTCTGTATTTATAATAGCTATAATGAATGAAAAGGAAAACTTGGAATATATCCTGAGAAATACATGAAATTCTTTGTGTAGCCGAAGAAAAAATTCCATAAACCACCATATAATTCACTATGTGACATAGACAAGTTGACTTCCTAGAGAACAATTTGTTATTAGGAAATCTATGCAAAAACTATGCCATTGACTTATGTCAAAGGCTATTTTATATTCAGAATAGATTTTCTATAAAGAATATAACAATTCCAGTATTGATCTAATGAAGAGAACAGTTGGAATAATTCGTTCAGCACTAAACAAATGTTCGACTGGATATTTACAAAATGGTCACTTTCAATGACTTGAGTCAAATTAAGTTAATACAGATCTTGAATTTCTACAGTAATTCGAACACTGACGTATATAATTCACATTGTAGAAGAATCGATATAGTTTGTATTCCATCAATTTGAATTTATGAACGTAATTATGTTGGCAATTACAAAATATTAAAATTTTAATACTGCCCCCTCTATACAAAGAAAGATCCATGGAGTGGCTTTTTTGCCCTTGAGTACTTTCTGAAAAACCAACTTTCCCATCTGAAATTCCATGATTTATTCAATACCTTTGGCGATGTAGACATTCTTGCATTTATTCTTATCATTATTTTTTGTTATATGTCCAGATTTTAATTATTTATGCATAAAAAGTAAAACCTTTGCGCACATATCAGGAAGAGGGGGTCGAACATTCTTTCGTTACCTATCCTTGGGAAAATTTAAACCAAATTAAAATTTTTGAGGGAGTACCGAGGCAAGTGGAAAACATAAATTGTGCCAAATCCTTAGTTGTGAGAACCCCAAATTATTTCAATTAAGAAGTGTGTATACTTTGAATTATTGGAATATAAAAGGGAATTCCAATCAATTTTCCTTATATGAAGGATCTTAGGTATGCGATCCCCAAATTGTTTCAATTAAGAAGTGGATATTCTTTGAGTTATTGAATTTTTCGAAGTGAAGTTGTCTTTTCCTTTAACGAAGTAATAGACAACTCTCTGGGTTTTAAGTTATCAAATCCGACTTCCAGTTGAAATGGTGGGAATTTGCATTTATGAGGCCTTGGAAACATGGATTGTTACGAATTTGGATTTCGGTTTATGGAAATATTGGATTTTTCTATATACCTTAAATATATAATAACATAATTTAAACCTGAAAAATAGTCTTAGCAAACAGAATTAGTTTCCAGTCCCAACTGAAATCCATGATCTATTTATTCCTTTTTCACCAATATTTCTCTGGACTTGTAACTTTGCTTCGTATTGTTGTTCAATAACATCTCAAGAAGAACTTCAAAACTTTTTTTTTTCAAAACTTGGACATAATAGGTGCGTCTGGTTACTTATTCCAGCAGGATTTGTCCAGCAACTTCTTTCTGAGGGAGTAAGGTAGTTTTATTCTCTTTTGCAAGAAAAAGACGAAAAGTAAACAGACGGTATTCCTGCAGAAGCTAGCAACTAATCAGCTGATTTGTCAAGACATCACCAATTTGGTCCCCATTAAAAGAATAAAAAGAAATAAACAAGTTTTATAAATAAAAAGGAAATTAGCAATTAAATAAAAATATGAGCAATAAAAAAAAGATTTTATGTGTTCCCCGGAATCCTTTAAACGTGTTGCTAATGGCGTTTGTCTAAAAACGTTGGAAATAGTCTTTTATTTTCTTCTTGCATATTAATATTTATGTTTTTTCACATTTTGTAAAGTTGTTCTCCAAAAACTGCTGATTCCAAATAAAATATTCAAATTGAAAGCGCAAAAAGGAAATAAACAAACAGTAAAAACATCTGAGTGAATGTCGTTGAATGAGAAGAAGAAGAAGAGTTGCAAGTGATTGCAAGAAGACATTTGTCTAGCAAGAATTTGCAAACTCTCACTGAAAGAACTGTCAAAATTTATCTCTCTAACCGCTCTCTTATGCAGAACTTTCGGGTTAACAGACAAACAAATTGTAACAATTGTTATACATTTTAGGGTAACCAGACACACCTAATGTAGTTCCACAAAAACAAAGGCAAAAAAGTCTCACTAAATAAGGAAAGAAATAACAGACAGACTCACACAAACACACAATGTAACTATTATCGCGAAAAAAGAAAATATTCAAAATATATATATATATATATTTTTTTTTTTCAAATGTGTGTTGCACTATTTTCTCCTATAAAATAAACACATAAAGAAGATGAACAAGAAACGTATACAAAAAAAAAAGCTGATATTTTATTACAAACAAAGAAGAAAACTCTATCAAACAAAACAAAAAGAAACCGCCAATTTAAAATGTATAAAAATGAACTTAACAATTACCACAAACTAAATGCATTCATATATATATATTTTTTCTTAAAAAATAATACAATACCAAAACAACAAAATAATACAAAAACAACAACTCGTAAAACCAAAAAATGAAAATCACTTAAACACAACTTTTTTCTTAAACCAGAAATCCTTTGTAAAAAAAACAAACAAACAAGCGAAAAACAAATATTAAGAGAAACCCCCATCTTCATTCAAAAACACCTCAAAATTTATATAAAAATAAATATGATACATAATAATTATAATTAAAAAAAAAAAAAACAAATCAACAACAACAAAAAAACCTATTTTATATATAACAAAAGAAAAAAACAAACAAACAAATGGAAATTATATCGCTTTTTTATAAAAAAAAACAACAAAGAAGAAAACAAAAAAATCAAATACAAACAATGTCTCGTTTTTTATTACAAAACTAATGTAGGCGTGTGTATGTGAGAGATGGCACCAACTGAGTAATAATTTCGAATTGGAGCAGTAATTTTTTAAAATAAATGTTAACATTGGTTGCCAATATCCAATATTTTAATGGCACTTTTCAAAAAAAAAAAAAAAAGGAAAAAAATAATAACAAGAAAAAGGTTCAACAATTTTCCATTAAACAATATTTTTTTTTGTAAGCGAACCATTTCCATCCCATATTGATGTAATATAAAGCATAGACATTCTTTGATAAACTAACTACGACAGATTTTGCCATAAATCCCGGATTTGATAAATGGGAATTAGCTTTGTTGTGAGAATCCGAAACACTTTCTCAGTCCCTCTGTGCAACTTTAACATACACACGCCCGAAAGAAGACACAAACTACTAATACTACTACAACAACCATCATCATCTTTTTTGACATGTCCCTACTCTTCCTTTTTTTCTGTTGTTTTTGTGTGCTGTTCCCCAATTTTGGACGAAAACTGATAACAAAAAGCCTACAATACAATAAAAAGTATAAAAAATGCTATATACATATATATTTTTTAAAGAAATAAGAAATATTACATTTTTGTTTTAGTATGTATTTATATTATTAATAATATTTTGCCTTTGATTTAAAAACAAACAAAACTACTCTATGTGTTTATGTTTATGTTTAACTAAGTATATATAGTATTTTTTGATTTTGCTTGTATCACTTACACTTTTCTTCCCCGCCTTCCTCGATTATAGATCTTTTTTGTTTGTCTAATTTTGTTTTTGCTTCCATTCTTCCTTTTTCTCCTATTCCTTTAATTTCCTATATACCATAATTTCCGTGTAATAAGGTTGGTGTTCGTTTTATCCTTTAATTTATATTTAAAAAAAAATCAACAAAACAAACAAAAAAATCATTTGAAAATTTATTAAAAAAAAAAAAAAGAGAAAAACTTTTTTGTGTGTATTATGCAATTTGCATAATATTCCTTACAATAAAAAAAATATTTTACTAATACATACATACATTATACATACATATAATAAAAAAAAATGAAAAAAAAAACAAACTACAAAAAAAAAAAAAAAAACAAAAAATAAATAAAAAAATTAAAAAAAACAAGTTGTTTTTTATTTGTACATAGTCAGAGTTAGAAATAAGATGGGGTGGATCTAAATTCCGTCTCGAGTACACAATTTTGTCATTGTGTTTGTTTCTGAATAAACCCGAGCAGCGAGCATCTTTAGTAAAATTGTAGTATTTTACTCGTGACATTGTCACCAGTACTAGTGCAAAAGTGTTGCATCAAAACCAATGTAATTTCCTATGGACATTTAACATAGACCATGACTATATTGTCTAAGTAGTTCTTTTGGGACCATATGGCGACATTTGAACCAAATAGTCACTTGAAAAAGATTAGATCTTCTGGGGTTACACGGTGACGATTGAACCACAACCTGAGCTATATGTAGACATTTGAATCAAATAAACACTAGAAGACGATGAGTTCTTTTGGGATCATATGGAGACATTGACCCAAATAGTCATTTGATGCTTTTTAGGAATGTACTTGTAAAATAATAAGTATTTAAAAACGTTACATTTTTAATGGATTTATTAATTAACAAAAATAAAATATGGCACAGTTCAAACTACAGACTATATTTAATTAAATTTAAGCAAACAACAAACGGTTTTGTTTTCTCCTGAATGTTGACGATTCTGCAAAGAATTGATCACAATTGCACCCGAGAGCTTTTGAACGGTGGCATTCCATCGATACTTGTCCAAAATGAGACCAACTTATCGTTGTTGTGTTTCTACGCCAATAAATGGTTTTTTTTGAAGGGCTATCATTTTCATTAATATGGGTTTCTTGGACCTGTATATATACACCTGTATATATTACAGGATGAGATAAAAAAACTGCAACAAAGTCAAACGCAATAATTTTCACATTTTTTTAAAAATTATTGAATGAAAGCAAAAAATGTCGGAAATAGCATCAAATTTTAGAATAAGACCTCGAGCTCAATTTTATTAAACTTACATTAGAATAATTTAAAATAAAGGTCGAATGAAATAACTAAAAATCAGAAAATTTCAGAATGAGTTTAGATCTGCTCGAATTGGTCACCTTTGGCACGAGTTGTGGGCTTCAAACGGCCGATGAAACCGTCACACGCTGTCCTAATGTTGCTCTGAGGTATTTTGGTCCATTCCCAGCGAAGCGCTTGCTTGAGGTGATCGACATTTTGGTATTTTTTTTAGTGCCAACCTTGCTTTCCAAAAAAAAAACTCCAGATACAATAGTCCAATGAATTGATATCCGGCCATTGTGCGCTGGAAGTGAAGCGAGGAACCTCATTTTGTAACCATTCTTGGGTTGCGCGTGCCTCTAAGTGCGATGGTGCTGAGTCCTTTTGGAATGTCCAAGGTCTGTAGCCAAAGTGTTTGTATTCCCAAGGCTTTAATACACTCTCCAGAATATTTTCGCAATAATTCTGATGCCACGGTCGATTAATACAAGCGGAGAGTGACTATCGGTTGTTATGACGGAGCATACATGATCGGCGCTTGAGTTGTGGTGGCCAACCGAAGGTGCACATTTTCAGCTGACCTCTTTGGCAAGTAAACACGATAGTTTTCTTTGCTTACAAATTGCTGCATAACAATTTTTTTCTCATCGGAGAAAACCAAATTCGGCAGTACACCACTTTCGGCCAAGCGGAGCAACTCTTTAGCTCTTTTGAGTCTATTTTCTTTTTGTAGCGCGGTGTAAGTTTTCGCACTTTTTGGAATTTCAATTGCCGAATTACCCCGAGCTCATTTTTTTAATATTTGCGAGTGGAATTTTGCGATATGTTGAGCTCACGAGCCATTTTCGGCCACTGCGACTCGAGATTCGATCAAGCCGCTTCTTTACTTTTCGAACCAATTCTGCTGATGTTGCTGTTTTCTTCCTTCCACTTCCTTGACGTCGGGATACGCTACCAGAATCACGGTACGAGACACAAAAGATTTATTCACATATAAATGCTGAAGTGTTCTAACGATAGCCACTTGTGGTTTTAATCACTTAACTCGACCTTAGTTTGATAATGTTATGATCTACCAAATCAGATACTCGCTTCGAGAGCTGTCGTGCGCACCAGCCAGACAGACGGACACTTCTAAATCACATTCAAATGTGCCAAAGCGGATTTCGCCCAAAAAGAACTAGGATCAGCCGCATGGCTGAGGGTATGAAAACTAACAAAGGAAAAAATATGAAAACTTGTTGATCGGTTCAAACGTCATAGAATTTCGGTCAGGGAAAACGATTCTGGATGAATGTGTGACGTCTCTCACATCAAGAGGTACGATATCATCCAATCTGAAAAAAAGGAAATAAATGAAAAGATAAAGCATCATTCAATAAGCCAAAAAATACAGTAGGTTTTCGCTTAGATGTATGTGAACATCTAGTCACTCAAAGTTCATAACTTCAAGATATATATAAGCCAATAATTGCCTTTCTCCTTGACCAAACAATGAATGGCTGTTATTTTTTATGTTTTTTTCTTTTAAGTTTTTGAATTGGAATCGTTATTAAAGCACTCCAAACCGACGCTACATTTATGTTGCTCAAAGAGTGTTTCTCGTCAAGTATTGGACCGTATTATCGTCATATCCCTTTTTTTGATAAGTGGATGCCAGCCACTTCTTAAGGGCTTTCTTGTCACCTTTCCCAATTTTTCCCTAGTCACATCTGTATGGGTATTGTCTACTCTTCCTCTTTTCAAAAAAAAAAAAAAAAATCAATATTTCATATTTAAACGCTTCTATTATGATTGGGTAGGCATGTCTTATTTAATATTTCGTTTCCCTACGGTTTTTTATGACAGGTTTCGTTTATGCCATAAGTTTATGGCATGTCACTGCAAAAAAATACACGCAACCATTATTTTCTGTTAATTTTAGTTAACCATACAACATTCTAAAATTAATTAAGACAACTGCTTAGATATCTAACATATTTTTTTAACAAAAAAAAAAAAAAAAAACGATAAAAAATCCTTTTAAATGCTCTCTTGAAGGGGTTAAATGTTTGGGGTATGTTCAGTGCATTCCTTTAACAGTTTCCCCAGTGTTGCTCACATTCGCACTCATTCAATAAGCAGTCAGCTGTCATTTGCAATGTACACAGAAAAAGGAGAGCGAATGCATTAATGTCCTCTCAATTGTGTTTTTTGCTTATTGGAGAAATCCCAAATTCGTTTGGCTAAGAAAAAGTTGTAAAATGTAATTTGTTTTTTTGTAATTTTTCTAATTTGAATGCGAAACAATTCGATTGTTAGTTGTTTTAAGTGCAAATAAATTACGTGAAAACGGTGCTTGAAACAGGTCTTTTTGGTTGCAAGCAACTTTAGCAGAGTCGGAAAGGGTTTGGTAATTTTGTATGCTGTCAAGAAAAAGGATGCAAAAAAAGTAGAAAAAAAAATAACAAAAAACGTTTTTAAAGAATTTGTTAATGAGTGAAAGTATGTGTTGAATTAAATTTCAAATAAAAAAATTTAAAGAATTTGTACAGAAAAAATATATATTATAAAAATTAGAGGTGTTATTAGACACCACAACAATTTTGAGAGAACTTTATTTCCTGTTGTCCAAACAGTGCCATCAATCTGTACATTAAGGACATACAACGTTGAGTTTGGCAAAAAAAAGCCAGTAACAACAATAAACGAAACGTCTGCAAAAGGAGGTAAGTCCCAGTCTCATAGCCATATGCATCGAACGTACATACCCAGCTACATAAAGATGAAACCTTTTTTCCTAGCCTACGCCACATGTTTTCTAATTTGCTTTTTGTTGTTTTGTTTTCCCCGGTTTCTTCTGTATTTACAAAATATTTTCTCGTACCTTTTGTATACGCGCGTGTGTGTGCTTTCCGCAGTGATGTCAATGGCGCGTCGAATTCAAAAAGCGTGCAATAAAAACGTTTTTAATATCCTTTTTGACGATTTCTAGACATTTCGATTGAATTAAATACATTTTTTATTAGATTTAAATACCCTCAGCCATATGGTTAGATGGGGTAAGCATAATTTGATACAGCCAAAACGTGCCTCATCGAAATATCGCTTTTAGACCCTACGTCTCTTTGGTCCATATCCGTTTCAGGACATTTGAAGTCGATCTAGCGATGTCTGTCCGTCCGTTCGTCTGTCTGGCTGTTGCGCACGATATCTCTCGAAGGGAGTATCCAATTTGGCCCAAACTTGCTACATCGTAATATTATTATCAAGCTTAGATCGAGTTCGTAGATGGACAACATTGGTCCACTCGTTCTGGTACTACCCAAAAGGTCGACATTTATATAAAAAATGCTTTGCTCCAACTTTACAAATACTAATATTTCAATCAGTGCTAGGTCAGGTGAGAAAATGGACAATATCTGTTCTATTCATCAAGTACCTCCCCCACAAAGGGTCAAAATTTTGAATAATCATAACTCTTATAGATTTGTGATATAAGTGTCCGATTGTCTTTAAATTTGGCACATCCCATTATTTCTATTAACACAAGGTCTGGTGTGAAGATGGAATATATCGGTCTACTCCTTCTGTTACCTCTTCCACAAAGGGTCAAAATTATGAATGTACATGAAGCTCATAAAACGCGTAATTAACATCCGATTTTATTCAGATTTGGTATATCTCAATATTTCCATCAACACAAGATCTGTTATGAAGATTGTAGAGATCGGACCTTTCCTTCTGGTACCTCCCCCTCAAAGAGCCAAAGTTTTGAATAACCAAAACGATTATAAAATCCGAAATAAGAATCCGGTTTTCCTGATATTTAACACATCTCAGTATTTCTACTAACATAAGATCTGCTGTGAAGATGAGATATATCAATCCACTCATTCTGGTATTTCCCCCACAAAGGGTCAAAGCTCATAAAACACGAAATTGGTCGATATAGTCCAAATCTGTCAACAATTTCATTGAGTTGACATCACTGTTATACCAATATCTCACTATTATGCATGTCAAATAATGTAATTTATATAAAATATTATATTTATTTTTATAAAAACAACAATAATGGGATTTTGCCTGACGATTTTGCAACAACAAAATACTATGGTATCCCAAACAAGCAAGCCAAACACTGTTCTATAAAATATTAATAATTTAAATTTTTATTAATTTAAACCCGAAAGCTCTTCTTCCACAACATTATCCAAATATCAAAACTAATCCAAAACTTGTAGTGTCGGTCTTTACATTTTGTCCTTTGCCATTTTGTCAAAATCAAAAATCTCATCATGTAGACATCACTGATCGCTTCAAACAATAGCGGGAGTAAATAAATTATATTTACGTTCTTTTGCTGTAGTTGTTGTTGGCGTTGTTGCTGTTTCGCCATGGCTGTATGCCTGTGTATGTTTGCCGCACTCCACCAATCTGTTCTGGCTTGTTCTCTCAAAACCCGGCTACTCTCACTTTGCTTTGTGCAAATTCAATTCAATTTCAACAACACGGAAGTTCAAAAACAAAGTTCCGCAGCAACATCCATTTCACTCATCCATGAGCCATCAACCATCATCCATCAGCATGGTATTGTTCTTCTTCTGCTGCTGCTCTACCTATTGCTGTCTGCGGTCGTTTGTTTTTTTTTGTCGAATTTTTCTTCTGTACTTCGCTTATTTGCTTTTATATAGCAGTTGGTTTTGTTGTAGCTACAAACACTAAACGTTGCTTCACTTTTCATACAAACGCAAATATTTGGCGAAAAGGAAATGGAAACAGAAGTATCCGTTTGATGTTTGATTTTATATAGGAAAACAACAGTTTCATTTTCAAGGTGGCCAGGTTTGAAGATAAAAATCTTTTCCTTGAAAAGGTCCCCTGCCTTGAAAAGGTCCCCTGGCGATGGAAAACCTTTTATGGGACGCGGAAACCGCCTACTGTAGATAGAGACCGTGGCCTCTGAGGACGTCTACTGTGAAGTAGATGGCCTTCGAGGACGTCTACTGTAGAGTAGATGGCCTCTGAGGACGTCTACTGTACAGTGGATGACCTCTGAGGAACTCTACTGTAGAGTAGATGGCCTCTAAGGACCTCTACTGTTGAGTAGATGGCCTTGAGGACGTCTACTGTGGGGTAGATGGCCTCTGAGGACGTCTACTTTAGAGTAGATGACCTCTGAGGAACTCTACTGTAGAGTAGATGGCCTCTGAGGATCTCTACTGTAGAGTAGATGACCTCTGAGGACTTCTACTGTTTAGTAGATGACCTCAGAGGACTTTTACAATCTACGCCATCTACTCTCCGGCAGAGTTGCTGGACCCGGAGGCCATCTACACACCGGGAGAGTAGTTGGACCCGGAGGCCATCTGCTCACCGGCAGAGTAGCTGGACCCGGAGGCCATCTGCTCACCGGCAGAGTAGCTGGACCCGGAGGCCATCTACTCACCGGCAGAGTAGCTGGACCTGGAAGAAACTCCTGGCAGAACATCAGAACATCCGGGAAATATATTCAGGGTTCTTTTATAAAGACTTTCCTAGGTTTTCTATAGATAGAGGACCTTCCAGGGTCTAGGTTAGATAGATGACATTCCAGGGTCTTCTGTAAATAGAAGATCTACCGAAAGACTCTCCTCTTTATATATTATAGGCGTTTCAGGCCTTTCAAGAGTGAGGTGGTCTGTAGATGTAGAGTGTTGGAAGTACAATGGTCTTCTGTAGAAAGAAGAAGAAGAAGGAGATTCTAGTCCTAACATCAAGAAGTTTAGATATATCAGGGGCGTCTCCAGGAGATCCTTTATGATCCGCTACAGGTCATAGTACTTTCTAGGACTTCTGTAGATTGGAGACCTACCAGTTCAAAATTTTCTTGGGTCTTCCATAGATAGAAGATCCTTCAGGGTTCTTCCATGTATAGGAGACATTGCAGGGCCTTCTGAAATTATAAGATCCTCATAGATTTTTCAAATCCTTTTATAGATGATAGACCAAAATACCTTCTAGTTTTCTTACACGTCCCAACTCTCCACGAGGTCCTCTATGGACCTGGTCACCCCATCCTCTTCGGATAGTAAACATATGAAACTTTTTGAAAACTATCATTTCGTTTTTTGCAAACTTTATTCCCTATCTCTAGTAGTTTTGTGTGTTTTCAAATTTCTTTTTCATTCTCCTTCTCTCCACCTCTCCCCCTTGGAACCAACCCATTTTAATCAAATTGAATTTGGATTTAAAACATTGAATGGAAATTCGGCGAGTTTTTGTTGTTGTTATTGTTTGTAGTGTTGCTGGATAATATGTAGAACCCACCATCAGTCATTGGAACAAATGGATTCCGGCGTGCGATTCTCTTCTCTTTATCCGAATATCATTGGATGCGGCAAACAATTAAAAAGGCTTTTAACGTAAAATGTAAAAGCCAAAGGAAGCTGCGGGGAGAAAGGTGGGGTAGTGGGTTATCTGTCCGTCCACCCGTCTGTCTGTCGGTCTCTCTGTCTACTTTGCAAAATGTCGAAATAATTTTATCAAAGAGCAACCCATTCCGAATGATGTTAAGACGAACATTCATTGCGAACATAAAAGGCAGTCAGCAGTCAGCACCCATACCGTCAGCCCGTCATGGCAACATTTAGCCCAACTCATATTCCTTTATTCAAATACCTAGAGTAAATATGTACCCACACACACACACACATTCAATCGGTGATGTATGAGTGGTTATATAAGATTATAAGCTGTTGTTCTGTTCGATGTTTACATGGATGGAAATGCTTTGTGTATATGTATAGTTACATATGGTATGTGGCTGTGAGTATATAATTACATAGATGGATTCCTGTGTATGTATGTCTTTGTATCTTATACATATACATAAATTCAATTTGTCTCTAATAGTCAATATGCTGTGTTGTTGTCTGATAGTAATTTACGATATTTTAGTTTTATGAAGCTCCCAGCTTCCATTTATCCACTTGTGTTGCGCCCCATTCAGATTCAGATTAAATAGATTGACATTCATTAACTTGGGGACTTTTGGGGTAATTTTTTTGAAATCACAAGAAGTTTAGCTCTTTTCTGACAGTCTGTTTTACTCGCAAGTTAATTTGCGAAATGATAGTTGTTGTTGTTGTTTGTTAATGACAAACGACCCAAAAAAACAGCATCATCATGTATAATATACACTAACTTAAGCAGAATAAAAGAAACGGAAAATGTAGATTCATGAAAGAAGGTATTCCGAGACCATCTACTCTACAGCAGAGGTCCTCCGAGACCATCTACTCTACAGCAGAGGTCCCCCGAGACCATCTACTTTACAGCAGAGGTCCTCCGAGACCATCTACTCTACAGCAGAGGTCCTCCGAGGCCACCTGCTCTACAGCAGAGGTCCTCCGAGGCCATCTGCTCTACAGCAGAGGTCCTCCGAGGCCATCTGCTCTACAGCAGAGGTCCTCCGAGGCCATCTGTTCTACAGCAGAGGTCCTCCGATGCAATCTGCTCTACAGCAGAGGTCCTCCGAGGTCATCTACTCTACAGTAGAATTCCCCCTAGGCCATCTACTCTGAAGTAGAGGTCCTCCGAGGCCATCTACGCTACAGTAGAGGTCCTCCAAAGCCATCATCCATACAGTGGAGGTCTCCGAGGCCATCTACTCTACATCAGAGGTCCTCTAAGGCCATCTATTCTACAGTAGAGGTTTTCTGAGGCCATCTACTCTACAGTAGAG